GGGGGGGGGGGGGAGGGAGCTGTCTTCACGTGCGTATTCAACTTATAAGTGTCTAGTTGTTGTTGCTAAAATTGTTAGTTTGTGATAGATTGGTGAAGATGTTTGGGGAGGGGGCAGTCTGGCAATCCCTGGTCTTTAATCTAAGATACAAGGGCAATAATGATCAATACTTTGATCGCGGGCCCTCAAAATATAGAAGAAGAAACTGTAAGACACTACATTTTGTATCGTCGCGTACTCTTAACATTATTCCCATTTCTAGTAGTGTTACTATATATACGTCATAGAAGTGATATGTCCACCATAATCCAATATTGTAACAGTTGTTATATGTTACAGTGTATGACGTCATATACTGATGTGTCCACCATAATCCAATATTGTCCACAGTTGTTCTATGTTTTAGTTTATGCTTTCATATAACTGACATGTCCCCCCTCATCCAACATTGTCACAGTTGTACGTTTCAGTGAGTGACGTCATACAATTTACTTGTCTCTTTGAATGTAGGTCGCAAGACTAAAAGTTCGTCAGCCGACACGGGTAAGTGACGCCATTTGTGTCTGCTGTGACCTACATATACACACTGAGCTACATACACACACTGAGCTACATACACACACTGAGCTACATACACACACTGAGCTACATACACACTCTTAGCTACATACATACACTGAGCTACATACAGACAATGTGCTACATAAACACACTGAGCTACATACACACACTGAGCTACATAAACACACTGAGATACATACACACTGAGCTACATACACACACTGAGCTACATACACACACTGAGCTACATACACACACTAAGCTACAAACATACACTGAGCTACATAAACACACTGAGCTACATACACACTGAGCTACATAAACACACAGCTACATACACACACTGAGTTACATACACACACTAAGCTACAAACACACACTGAGCTACATAAATACACTGAGCTACATACACACTGAGCTACATAAACACACAGCTACATACACATACTGAGCTACATACACACACCTAGTTACGTAAACTCACTGAGCTACATAAACACACTGAGCTGCATATACACCCATAAATGCACATTCGCACAGCTAATACACACAGTAGTTGACAAATGTTGACTCTCTCTATCTTGTGTGTTTGGTGACCCGTCCAATAACTAACACCTTTCTTAGCCAAGTTGTCCAACGAAGACGACGAGGAGGTGTCTGCCCTGCTGGTCAAGCTACAGGCAAAGATACAAGGAGCAGGGGTGAGCAGAAACTATGTTAGCCTTTAGGGGTTAGTGGGTGCCATGTTAGCTTTTAGGGGTTAGTCGAGGAAATGTTAGCTTTTAGGGGTTAGTCGGGGAAAGGTTAACTTTTAAGGGTTTGTGCGGGTATATATTAACCTTTTGGTGTAAATAGGGTTATATTTTTTTTCTTGGAAAAGTGAGTTACTCACAGGGGATGGCGAAGTGGGCGACCGCGTTGCCCTAGTATATTTATAATATACCTAAGCCTACAAATAGTTCCTAATCCAGTCAACACAACATTCGGAAACTTAGCTAGTGAACAACTTTCCGTTATGACGCGTCCAATTATGACTAGCAAGGCCCCAGTACGAATATAACGTGTCTTAAAATCCGGAATATATAACGTCAACGGCCCCGCAAAATTCAATTTGTCCAAGGCCCCGCACCCTCCTAGCGCCGGCCCTGGTTACTCAGCTCAGATCGTCTGGTATCTGCGAAGCTATTTCTTCTCAGCTCAGCTCGTCCGAGATCTGCGAAGCTATTTCTACTCAGCTCAGCTCATCTGGCATCTGCGAAGCTATTTCTACTCAGCTCAGCTAGTTTGGCATCTGCGAAGCTATTTCTACGCAGCTCAGCTTATCTGGCATCTGCGAAGCTATTTCTACTCAGCGCAGCTCGTTTGGCATCTACGAAGCTATTCCTACTCAGCTCAGCTCATCTGGCATCAGCGAAGCTATTTCTGCTCAACTCAGCTTGTCGGGAATATGCGAAGCTATTTGTAGGCCTAATCAGCTCAACTCGTTTGGCATCTGCGAAGCTATTTCATTATTGACATTAAATGACTACCGTTATGCTACGTCTTAAAGTGTCAGTAAATTTATTTTATTTTAATGGACATGTATCCGGACATCAATATCGTACAATAACTTTTCCAATTTGTTCTTTTTGTCGTTGTTGTCGTTTGCTTGTTAGAGTTGTTACACTTTGGATAAAATGGGGGACAAAAAATGGTTCCGTCCACAGATCAAGGGGAATGTACTCCGCGTGCTTGGCGCCAAGCCAGGGGACGCCATCGTGAAGACCAGCGACGAGCACAAAGTCGACATCATCATAACTGGCACCCGGGGCCACGGTGCCATTCGCAGGACGCTCATTGGTAGTGTCAGCCAGTACGTGGTCCACAACGCCCACTGTCCAGTCCTGGTGGTCCGACATGATTAGATTGTGTTTATCTGATGTTGAAGCCTGCTTTAAAAAAAGTGTGTGTGCTAGACCAGGCAAACAAGTAGATGAAATGTCAAGAGGAAAAAAAAATGACTTTATTGTTTTTTAAATTTCCGTGCCGTCAGAATTCAAGAATTTCTCTTTTCCTAAAATATGATTAATAATCGAAATGTTTCAAAGAAAATGATGACACAAAATTAAATTACTAAATTAAAATTAAGAAAAAATATTTTAAATACTTCCCCAGTTACTTATTCACTTATTAGATATTTGATGTAACTTACCTAGTTACGTTTGCTATTATGCCATTATCGTTCTAAATATTACAAAAGGGAATTTTCACACACGTACACATTGAGACACTCATCATCACAATGCAGGAACCACTGGCTCGCTGATTAAAACCAAATCTTCTGTAGTGCCTTCTCATTGCTTGTGACCGGCAAAGTACAAATAAAACACGCATGAAACATTTAACAAACACATTTAAGAAACGGTATTGTTTGTTTATTGTATGTTTACATTTAACAAACACATTTAAGAAACGGTATTGTTTGTTTATTGTATGTTTACATTTAACAAACACATTTAAGAAACGGTATTGTTTGTTTATTTTATGCTTACATTTAACAAACACATTTATGAAACGGTATTGTTTGTTTATTGTATGCTTACATTTAACAAACACATTTAAGAAACGGTATTGTTTGTTTATTGTATGTTTACATTTAACAAACACATTTAAGAAACGGTAATGTTTGTTTATTGTATGTTTACATTTAACAAACAAATTTAAGAAACGGTATTGTTTGTTTATTGTATGCTTACATTTAACAAACACATTTAAGAAACGGTATTGTTTGTTTATTGTATGCTTACATTTAACAAACACATTTAAGAAACGGTATTGTTTGTTTATTGTATGTTTATATTTAACAAACACATTTAAGAAACGGTATTGTTTGTTTATTGTATGTTTACATTTAACAAACACATTTAAGAAACGGTATTGTTTGTTTATTGTATGTTTACATTTAACAAACACATTTAAGAAACGGTATTGTTTGTTTATTGTATGTTTACATTTAACAAACACATTTAAGAAACGGTATTGTTT